ACACATGTTGGGCCAAGACAGCACTGAACGCTCACCTCACCTCCTAATGACATGGGCCTGCTGCTGCCAAATAGATAAAATCGTAAAAGGTGCCAACAGTCCTTATTTTAATGTAAATATCCTGAGTTTTGAAATGCCAAGCCAATCTAGAGATTAAATGAGGCTCATGGCAGCCAATTTGGAAGGGACACTGCAAGTTGTGAAGGGAGATAGGACACGCTAATGAACCCACCACTCCATCCTCAATGCTGACTTGAAACTCCATGGTAAGTTGAAAGTGGTGTTGATAAGCCCTCTCCACCACCTATCTTACCATGTTACCCAATTATTAAACCACAAGTTGATCTGCAAGAAGACAGATCGCTTTAGAGACTGGACACCGTGTTATGCCTGTTAATACCTAATCATGGCCAAGGAAGTAAGCTGCTGTCAGTAAATAACCAGGCCAATGTTACCTTCTAGCTAGGAGGGGTTAGTCTTAGCTGACTTCTCTCTCTAGATGCTACATTCACACAGGGAAAAGATGTGTCAGTTTACTTCTGGAAAGATCACAGTCGTAGAAACCCTGTGGGACAGCTCTACTCTCTCCTGCAGGGTTGCTATATATTGGAACAGGCTTGACAAAAGTAGGGATTTAGCGCCTGCATTTTTTTGTTCTCTGTTGAATTGCCTAACTGTATGTAGGGTGCTGAGCAGGTTATATGACAGAAGGTGTGGTGGGGCTGGGTGCCCTACACTTGACTCTCCCCAAGCCAGAATCCTGGGACCAAAGAGGAGCTCTGAGAGTGATCGTACTTGCTAGCATGAGTCAAGCATGGTTGAAACTTTTTCGTTTAGGGTCCTTGATGGACTCCAAACCTGTGTGAGATTCATCCCTGGTTCCTTTCTTCTCTTCATCTCTAAGTCCAATCACTTTCTTCATCCTCTACATCACTATATGCTTTCCTCTCTCATCCCTGAATCACTCCAATCTTGGTGGCATCTTAGAGGCACTAGCTAGGGGGTTCTCCTGTTTCTAGACTATTCCCATCTCCCACGACACTGCCCCAAAGATCTTTCCTAGCTCCCTCCTGTGTACTTAATACCTCCTAGTGCCTGGCTTGGTGCCCAAGGCTTCCCACCCTGTGGGTCAGTCTCTGCCTCAAATACTGTTCCTTGAAAGGCTCTGTCATTAAGATGACCCCTCCTAGGACTGCTCCAATCCTGCTCTTGAACATATCCTTCTTTCTTCTCTCTCTTCCATGTTCTTTCCAGGGCTCTACTTCT